TTTTCAGTTACAGGCTGAGTCATTTCTACCTTCTCCAACACTCTGGTTTCATTTAAAAAAGCCAATTGTCAGATATTGTCCAAGATTAACCTTCAGGGTGGATATAGCTCGCTCACACCGAGGACCTATCCACGTCATCATTTACACAGAATGCTTTACGTGTAAATAAATTGGCTCCGTCCATGTTAAAATAAATTTTAAAAATGTTCAAAACTAAACAGCCTACAGTATTTTTACAGTCTTTTTTTTACAGTTAAAATATATGTTTATCAAATAAAGTCTAATGTTACAACTAATCGTGGATCTCTTAGAATAAATGACTTCATCCAGCACTACAATAAACAGCTCACACTATCTTGTTCCTGTAGGTCTGTCTCCGCCCACAGCCTACGCCACCTTCCCCACACCACCTGCTATTCTCTCTGAGGCTGCTCTTTACCAGCCCCCCCTGCTGGCTGCTCCCAGACCCCCTCAGGCGGCCATACACAGCTCTGCTCACGCTCTGGCCTACTACCCCCCTCAGCCGCATCTCTACATGAACATGAACTACACGGCGTACTACCCCAGGTCAGTCCAGCTTCAACACACCGGGACTGCTGCTCGGGTGCTTTCTCTGCCGTCTGACTCGTCCTCTGTTCTGCAGCCCCCCGGTGTCTCCCTCCACAGTTGGCTACTTCGCAGCCCCACCAGGAGCCATGGCAGCAGCTGTTGCAGCTCAGCCCCACCATGCCGCCGCTGCAGCGTCCTCTCTGCTGCCCCAGCCCGGTGCCCTGGTGAGGATGCAGGGTCTGCCCTACAACACCGGGGTCAAAGACATCCTCAGCTTCTTCCAGGGGTATCAGGTGAGAGTGTGCCACACTCAAACAAGCGTGCAGTTTAGTCGCTGCACACGGCTTTTAAATGCCGGCTAGCAGAGCGCTTCAGTGTTTCAGCGACGACTGGATCATTCTGCCGTTTTGCCAGAAGCTGCACCACCTGTGTTTTACAAGTTTCTGTTTCACAAACTCCTCCCGCTGTACTGTCGAGTAAAGAGACATGTGTGCACTTGTGCTCTCTGCCCCTGCATATTTATTGCTGCCAGCCCAAATTAGGTGGAGTTCCCTGAAGCAGGTATGAACCCTGACAGGTGTGGCTTCACACAGTTTGCAGGTTGAGAAGGGAGAGCGGTGGGGTTTCAGGTGGGGACGGGCTGAATGTGCTGCTGTTGGTTTGTGTGTTGCTGTTGTTGGGAGAAGAATTGTGGGTCTATGTTTGGTTTTCGAGCAACTCTAGTCGCACTGAAACGAGCTGAGTTGCACACCAAAAACCTGTAAGAGGACACAGAGTGTTTAAAGGTGAATGTGTGTTTTTTTATTTTTTGTTTCGGTGCCATGTTCTCCTCGTCCTGCACTTCTGTATCTCATGTGTGAGTGTGTGTTTTTTTTGAAGAGTTGTGTTTTCATGTGTGTAAACGACGTTGGAGACCTCGCAGCCTGACTGTGTGTGTTCTGTAGTACGCCCCTGACGAGTACAGCAGCATGGTTCAGATGAGCGAACAGGCCCGGAGTCTGATTCAGCCCAAAGAATGGCTCTGCCTTTAGGGACTCGGTCCAAGGTAAGAGGAGCCTCGGGGGGCCGAGGAGCAGCATGGAGTGAAGCTGCGTGTCCTCAACCTTACAAAGCATCTTTATCTGCAGCTCGGGTGGGGGAGACTGAGTGCTTTAAAACATCCAGTTGGTCCTAAAGTGGTGATTTATTCCATCTAGAAGGTTTTTCTCATCAGTTTCAGGCTGCCTTCCTGTACAAATACTGGCTTATATAAATTCTAACGACATTCTGACTTATTTAAATCACCAGTTCAGGATTTACTGGATGTTTCATCTGGCTTGTGTACTTGTACCTTTTTTTAATCCCCAAATTTCTGCAATTAATCTTTTATTAACCAATTAATTGTTTTCCCCACACAGCAATCTTCCAGGAACATTTTGAAGCTTAAAAAACATTTAAAGAGATCCATGATTAGTTGTAACATTAGACTTTATTTGATAAACATTTATTTTAACTGTAAAATAAAGACTGTAAAAATACTGTAGGCTGTTTAGTTTTGTAAAAAAATTTAAAATATATTTCAACATGGACGGAGCCATTTTATTTAGACACAAAGCATTCTGGGTAAATGATGATGTGGATAGGTCCTCGGTGTGAGCGAGCTATATCCACCCTGAAGGTTAATCTTGGACAATATCTGATGTTCGACTCTTTTAAATGAAACCAGAGAGCGTTGACAGAGAGGAGAAGGCAGAAATGACTCAGCCTGGAACTGAAAATATGGATGGAGGACAACAGAGCTGCTTCATGGAAGAAGAACCTCAGCTTAGCCTGTTAGCCTTTGTGCTAGCGCCAACACTGTATTGCCTTATATGTATTAGCTCGGTGCTAGTGCGACAAACAAGCTAAGCTGAGGTCCTTCCTCCATGAAGCAGCTCTGTTGTCCTCCATCCATATTTTCAGTTCCAGGCTGAGTCATTTCTACCTTCTCCTCTCTGTCAACGCTCTCTGGTTTCATTTAAAAGAGTCGATCATCAGATATTGTCCAAGATTAACCTTCAGGGTGGATATAGCTCGCTCACACAGACGACCAATCCACATCATCATTTACCCAGAATGCTTTGCGTGTAAATAAAATGGCCCCGTCTATGTAATATATTTTTAAACTTTTAGTTTAAAAATGATAAAAGGTAAACAGCCTACAGTATTTTTACAGTCTTTATTTTACAGTTAAAATATATGTTTATTAAATAAAGTCTAATGTTACATCTAATCATGGATCCCTTTAAGTCAACAAAACATATTAAAGCTCCTGAACAGAAACTTTGCACTTCTTTCTACAGACCAGCTTATGTTTTCCTGCTGTACTGGTAGATATTAATAAATACTTGTAGAAACATCAGAAACACATCATATACTTCAGTTCAGTTTTCCATGTCAGTACTGATGGGAAAAATGCTAATTCATAAAAACAGTTATTTTTTAGCATCTGACTGCTGCTTCAGGCAGGATGTTTTAATTCTGCCAACAGCAGCTCCTAATGATCAGATAACTGTGAAAAACTAACATTTCTAAATTTTACCTTGTAAGGTTTTGAAGTCTGGAAAATGTACGTTTTGTACGTCCTGATGATTCTTCAGGATGTTCAGATTCACATGTCAAACATTGCAAAGCCCTGGTAACCCAACTTTATTACAACAGGCACAAATAATGTGTTAAAGTTTTCTTGTTCAGGACTTTTGAAATAAACATTAAACTACATGAAACTGTAAATTCACAGAGATGAACTCAATAAATTCATGTGATGTTCTGTTGATTCATTTGCATGTGCTCTTTTTCCTTTTTTGTGCTGTCTCTGTATCCGATTTGCAGTATAATAATAATAATAATAATGCATGCATACTAGTTTCAGGTAGAGGACAGGAAGTGCTCCGCTTGCTCTTTTCGTCTCTGTGCTTCCAAACTGGACTGGTTTGAGGAGGAGGAGGGTGCATGACTGTTCCTCAGCTCTGTGGGCGCCCTCTTGTGTTTCCCTGTTGCAGTCGCACGTCAGAGTGACTCCTTGTTTTGGATTCTTCCGCAGCTCCAGCCAGAAGCCGTGCTTATTCTGTACAACTTCAGCGGCCAGTGCAGCGGCGAGGCTTTGATCACTTTCCCGAGCGAGGAGATGGCCCGGCGGGCCGTAGCGGAGCGCTCCAACCACCCGTTCTACGGGCAGCAGGTCCACTTGGTTCTCTGTAACTGACCTCCACCGCTCAACCTCGCTCACTTTAACATCCTGCAAAAAACTAACTACAAAAAAGCCCTTTTTGTTCGCTCCAAACTCCAGCACATCCCGGTTCCTTCCAGAACGCCTGTCGAAGCTTTCTCCTCCGTCTGATCTGTTATGTTGAACGCACACCTCTCTCACCGCTGAGTCCCGACACTCCTGCGACTGCATCTGGAGTTGAGGCGTCCACAGATGAAGCAGTTAATGTTGAGCAAACGACACTGTGGACGCCGTCTGTAGTGTTTCAGTTTTTTTGTTTTCCCTTTCTGTGCCAACTGCATCGCCTGGTTGTGGAGAAAACCCGATGGTGTGAAGTCCAGACAAGAACCACGCAGTGGCTCTGCAGAGCCAAACATACAGAAATATATTTAAATACTTTTATATAAGCTTCTCCTATGAAACTGTACACGTTTGTCCTGAAATGCTTGAGGCTGCACAAACATCTAAACTCAAATTATTTCTGTAAAATTCTCCAAATTTCATCTGAAACCTCTACAGGATTGAAACATTTTTTTTTCTCTGTTGGCTCTGCGCTGACAGCAGCTGACTGTAGGCTGGATGTGTTTTAGATGATGGTCTCCTGCAGTGGAAATGAGAAGATTTAAGCCATAAAACCTGCTTTAGATTAGAATCAATCAGGAGTTCAGATCTGTTCAAAAGTTTCTCAGCGCTTCAGGGACTCTCAGATTATAATAGATAACACTACAGCTGTACCAGAGGACCCATTAAAATGTCACTTTATTTTTGTTTTGTATAAAATGAAAAAGGGGGTAAAAAAAAGCATTTATTTTTACTGACATTAAGCATTTTTTGTAAAAAGCACTGCGTGTTCCTTCATTGCTTTGATCAGATGAAAGGAGCCGTACTTCTTTACCAGAGCAGCAAATAAATTTATTCTATTTTATGAATGCGTTTTCTTGACAAAAGCTTGTATTTGGTTATTAAATGTAAAACGGAGGCTTATTTTCTCAGAAATGTTTTTAAAAACAACCGACTGCAGCTCCTGTTACTTTTTTTTTGTTGTTGTTTCCAGACTGTAACGACGCCTGCAGCACGATTTAATTCCTGCCTACGAGCAGAGTGCTGAGGAGAGCTGTAGTTTTTTTGTTGTTTCCTTTCCCTGTGAAAGGCCTGCTGACAGTTGTCTTAGTTTGTCCATCTTTATTCCATTACCCAGAGTGCAATAGTGGCCCAAACGAGGCTAAATGTCAGCCTCTGGTGGCAGATGATTTTTTTCTTTTGTGAGTTAATGCTTGCATGTATTTCTGTGTATAAAATGTTAACAATAAAAACATTGATAAATATTCATATTTCAATTGTTTTTTGGGGGGATTTTAAAAACAAAGTTTTTATTGTAGGGGATAAAACCATCTATTGATACACACACAGACAAAATACAACCCGGGGATTGAAAAAATTGAATCTTAAGTGTATTTAATTAAATTTTGATTTGAAAACAAAGGATAAATTAAAGGTTTTGCGGACTTTTAAAATGTTTGGACTGAAGCATGACTCAGCTTTTATTTGTCAGTGGTTCTGAAATGTACTGCAACATTAAAATCTCAAACACAATTTGCAGAGAAGATAATCAGAAAATTTCATGATTAAGCTTAAATTTGTAATTTCACCTGTATCTAAACATTTTTAACAAGGATGCTTTTTTAGGGCAGGACAATTTAAACTGTCAGCTACTCAAAACCAACATTATGTAAAAGAACAAGTACCTTTTAAATTAGCTTATTTTGCTGCATTAAGTCGATTTAAAATGCTTTTTTTATATCAAAAGAAGTTTTAAAAAAATTGTTTATTTAGAAGAAATTAACTTCTAGATTTTTTTTTTATTTTTTGTTCCTGTTCTCGGAGGAGTAAGACACTTTTTCCATCTCTCCTGCCCTCCCTTATCTTCCCTGTCTTCAGATATTCACACAAGTGCATTTAACATTCATGGCTTCAGATACACGCCCTCCAAACTCACTTACTCCTCTGGCTAATACTTTAATTATTATTATTTATTTTATTTAAAAAATAAAATTAAGACTCCTTAGTGGGTTGGATTGGCTTGTGGGCCACCATTTGAAAAGCCCTGACTCAGTGGTTAAAGAAAAGTGAGACCAGGAAAAAAATAAAGGGGAAAAAAGTTTTGTAAAGATGAGAAACACAAGACTTGAGTTTTCTGATTTATTGACATACGCTACATTACAGCCTACCATTATGATGCAAGGTGTTCTTCCCATTGAATAATTTCAAAAAGCACTGCAGTCTTAAAAATTACAAAAAAAAAAAAAAAAAAGAAATTACCATACAAAATATACAAGAAGTATCAATACAAGGCTTGGTAAACACATCAGCTAAACCTGTATTTCCCTTTTTATTTTACAGTCTCAACAGACACCCTCACACGTCTTTAACCGTTTAGGAATGACATCCATTTTCCAAGTATCAAAAATAGAGTTGTACAGTCACAGCAGCCTTCGTAGCGTCTAAAACAGGAACGAGTTGTTCGGTCTTTGGTTGTGACAGAAGAGGGCAGCAGCCAGAGTCAATGCTGGTTTTGTTTCCTTTCTATGTTTTTATTATTGTTGCAGACTCAAGTTTCTCAAGATGCAAAACCAACTATAAAACAAAGCCTCGTCTCTAGTCTCCCATCAACCCCCCCCCCCTTTTTTTTTGTCCACACTGTTTCCCCCCCAGAACACAATCACTGACTAAGTTTAGCTGAATTCATTTGGAGGGAAAACTAAAACCTGAAGAGCTTTCAGACAAACTGCTTCTCAGATGAGAGTTAAGGCATCCTAACAGTTCACATAATGACATGATATCGTCAACATACAAAAGTTTTTTTGTTTTCCTGTGAAATCCCAAAAAAAATGTTATTTTTTTTTAACGTTTCTTATTTAATGACAGTTCTCACATTTGCTGTTACAGTTTGCATAGCCTCAATGTGTGCTTCTGGTACTGAAAATAGGACTCAATAGATCTGGATATTTGGTTCAAACACCTACCCACACACTCGCACACCCTCTCGCTCACACACTCACACACACACACACACACACACACACACACACACACACACACACACACACACACACACATTTCAGATGCTTGCACTGCTTCCTCCATTCAGGATGCTAACAGAGTCGATCAACCATCAAACAAGTCTACTTCTATAGGCATCAAGGTCTTTTTTTTGTCTTTTTTATTTTTAAAGGCATCAAGCAGAATATCAATGCATAGCAGAATTATTTATTTTACCTGAAAACTGACTTCAAACCATCAGAAGCAACACTTTCCTGGCTCTAACATGCAGAGCAACATTGTCGTCAGTCTTAAGGCAAAAAGCCAGAGGAAATCCTCAAAACAGCAACTGTTTACGTCTCCGACCTGGGATTTCGTGTTATTGCTGCCATACAGGCACTGACTGCATTTTAAAAAATTTAAGAGCAGGGGAGGAAAAAAACACGTGTAAGAAGCCGTTTCAGGACAACAGCTAATGTTGGTTGTTGCGAGCAGGGAGCAGCTGGAAGACCCCAGTACGTCCAGACGTTGCTCTCTGGAGTTACCCATTGTTCTGCACATACGAAGGACATAAATACAACATACAGACATGTTTAGCTGGAAAACATTCTTCATCGTTTCTTAATAAATGCTGAGCAGGTTGTCGTTTTAATGGCGGCTGTTTGGATGTGGAAAAAAAGGCACAAAAAAGGCGCCGGGGGGACATCTGAGGAGTGAAGACAGGATTTGAAACTTTGAGGCAAAGCGCTCGAACTCTGTGGACCAATGAAAACACTCCTTTGTGACATCGTAATAACATTTTTTTAAATAAATGATCAAATACATAATTAATTCTGTGTCAGGAGTCTGGTTTCAAAAATGTCCCATCATGTGACTTTAGGCCTGCTGTGCAAACCAAACAAAAGCTGTAGCTACCACAGAAAGCTGCTTAACAATAAGGCATTTGTGCAACTCAAAAAAAAGGAAGGAAACCTGGGAGAGAGGAGCATAACTGAAGAAAACATAGGGAAAAGGGACATAAAATATTATAAATTGTATTTATCTAGACAGCTGCAAGGTTCCTAAAAGGTGGAATGTTGCATATTTTACAGATCTGACATCAGCTCCACAGGAGCAGCAGCTCTGCTCCAGACCTGAACGGTTTTCTTTTCTGGGTAAAGAAAAAAATCTGTTTTAATCTAAAGGGTGTTCTGATAGTTCAGGCAGGTTTTATCTTAATTTGGTAATGCAGCAGAACGACTCATCTTCCCTCAGTTTTGCTGAACCTCACAACGGTTTTCTGGCAGTTTTAGTCTCTTGCTGTTTCCTATGTTGCCAGAAACGTATTCAAAAACAAACCATGTGAAGAAGTGGGGGAAACGCAGCTTTGGGTTCTTGCAACAAAGCTTCGAGCTACATCTCCACTCATGGAAGTCTATGCTGGTGAAACGGGGGCTGACGGAAACCCTCCGTTGTGATGCCTTCGCTGATGGTCAGGAAGAAAGCAGCGCTGTGAAGGAGCAGAGAGTCAAACACAAGCCTGAGAACTTACAGACAGCTACAAAAACTCAAACGTCCTGCTGCGGCTCCACACGGCCTCCACCGACACGCTCGTTTTGTTTTTCTGTTCCACATCTGCATGAAGTCATCTACATCAGAGCTACAGCATCGCTGAAATGAACCTCTCTTTAGTCTTCCCTCCCCTCACAGTCCCGTCTCTCCTCTGCCATTCTTCCAGCAGCAGGACCGGTACCCGCACCGCATCCTGGCTCTGTGCTGTGGAGTCTGCAGGGTGAGGAGCTGGAGGCTGGAGCCAAAAGACTGCGTCGGCGTTGGAGCTACGACTGGTTGTGAACTGACGGAGAGCCGTGGGTGCTGGGGGACTGGGACATGTCTCTGCCGATGATCTCGTTCACTGTGGACAGAAAGAGACACAAAGAGTTCTTTAAAACTACGGAAAAGCTTTAAAGAGCTAAAGAAGGGAAAATATTGAGCATCTCAGGCTGTTACAAAAAAATCTATGTTTGTGCTTTATTAAAAGTCAGAAATATAAACAAACTGACCATAACATTATAACCACAGGTACTGTAAATCCAGGTATCACACATATAAAGACTTAAAAAAAAAAAACAGGACCAAGAGTGGGAGGTGTTCACTTGGCTCAACACACAAAGAACTCAGCACCCCCAAACCCACGAGACTTGAAGGACCTGTTGCTCCCAAACCAGACACCAGGACCCCCCTCACACATTCTTAGTCCAGCCTGTCAGAGCTGTTTGGGTCAGAACGCTTTTATAAGTCAACTGATTTGCCAGGTTTATAACATTACTGCTAAAACCAGGTCCCCTGATCCTGGTAAAGTTGTCTCTATAAAGACCTCTGATCTGATCTGATCTGATCTGATCTGATCTGATCTGATCTGATCTGATCAGAAGTGGGTAGAGTTACCAAAAGCTGTACTCAAGTAGAACTACTTCACCATATTTTTACTCGAGTAATTTTTTTGGGATAGCTAATTTTTACTTAAGTGAGAGTAAAAATGTATTTTGTAAAAAGGCTACTTTGTTACTAAGTGATCATGACATCATGGAAAGTTATGTGAAAATTCAGGTGGTTTTAAAGAATTAATTAAAACATTAATAAATTCCAGCAGAAAACAAACATTTTTCCAAATAACTAAGTACTAAAATATCATTAGAACAAAGATTGTGCACAAACAAGAGGTCTCACTTCAGCATAAACTGTACGTGTGTCTCTGCTGCATTTCTAATTAAAACATGTTTGTTCTTCATTCAGTGACGTACAGAGTATTCAGAAACTTTACTCCAGTAAGAATAACAATACTTCATAATAATATTACTCAAGTAAATTAAAAAGTACAGTGTAGTAAAAATACTACCCACCTCTGGTAATAATGGATTAAACGTATGTTTGTATGGATGTAAACAGTGTTGTATAAAGTACCACAAAGTGATATTTGAGTAAAAGTACAAGTATCTTACCAAAAAATTACTTTGGTAAAAGTTAAAGTCTCCTTTAGGAATATTACTTAAGTAAAAGTATTAAAGAATCTGATATTTTTTGTACTTAAGTATTAAAAGTAAAAGTATTGATTTAAATTGAGCAATTAGTCATTTATGCATTTTTTGGGGCGGTCACCTCCTAATAAATGTTACAGAAAATCTATGTCTTATTAAAATAATTAATTGATGTTAAATTTAGGATGCACTAGTCCAGCTGTTTCAGTTTATATACATATATCAAGGCTGCAAAAAGCTTTTCTCCAAAATTAAAATCTATGAGGGCTGCGACCAAATGCAACAATATAATTCATAAAATACAAACACTTAAGTACAGTCCTTTGATTTTAATGATTATGTCCTGCTGGAGTGTGACATGATTTGTGTACAAACTAATACACTATCAGAATTTTATATATTTATACTTTTCATTAAACCACAGTTAAATTCACTCTATCTAGGAGGCACAATTTCTATGGATAGTATTTATTTTTTTACAAAAACAAGCTGGAATGAAAACAAACAAAAATTAAATAAAAGTAACGACTTTCTACTTCTCTCCTTTTTTAAAAATGTAGTGAGGACAAAGTACAGATAACTGTGTGAAAAAGTAAGAAGTAGAAGTAAAAAGTAGGCTGAAAAATAATTACTCAAGTAAAGTACAGATACCCATAAATTCTACTTAAGTACAGTAACAAAGTATTTGTACTTAGTTACTTTACAACTCTGGATGTAAGTGAAACGATTTGCATTTGTCCCCAGCAGGGGGAGATGTAGTTCCACACAGATCTTCACAGGATCAAAACCTAAACACCTCAAAAAGCTCAAAGCAGAAAAAAACTCAAAGAAACTGGCAAAACTGTGAGGCTGCGTGTTTGTTTCTCTGACCGGAGATTTAATCCCTCCTGACACGGCAAATGAGAGACACTGTTCCATTCACCGCCTGGGCCCAGTTCTCACCTCTGAGTCCAAGAGCTGTTAGTTAGAGACAACACATCAGCACCTTTAAACACACATCTGTGCAGCTGCGTCCTTCATTACTTCATCTGACCTTTGATGGTGGTTCACAACATTTCTCCAGACTCCTTCGTGAGGTTTGTTCACACAGCTGAGGAGCAGCGTAAATCTAGTTCATTAGAAAACATGTACTTAATATAAAGGGATCCCTGATTAGTTGTAACATTAAACTTTATTTGATAAACATATATTTTAACTGTAAAATAAAGATGGTAAAAATACTGTAGACTGTTGAGTTTTGTAAATTTTTAAAAATATATTTTAACACGGATGGAGCCATTTTATTTACACACAAAGCATGCTGGGTAAATGATGACGTGGCTAGCTCATCGATGTGAGCGAGCTGTATCCACCCTGAAGGTTAATCTTGGACAATATCTGATGATCGACTCTTTTAAATGAAACCAGAGAGCGTTGACAGAGAGGAGACGGTAGAAATGACTCAGCCTGGAACTGAAAATATGGATGGAGGACAACAGAGCTGCTTCATAGAAGAAGAACCACAGCTTAGCCTGTTAGCCTTTGCGTTAGCGCTGATGCTATATTGCCTTATATGTATTAGCTCGGTGCTAGCGTGACAAACAAGCTAAACTGAGGTCCTCCATCCATATTTTCAGTTACAGACTGAGTCATCTTTGTGTTCCCCTCTCTGTCATGTGGATGGAGGACCTCAGTGACGAGAGGAGAATGTGTAGCACTGAGCTAATACATATATGGTGATAACATCGGGGCTAACACTAAAGCTAACAGGCTAAGCTGAGGTTCTTCTTCCATGAAGCAGCTCTGTTGTCCTCCATCCATATTTTCAGTTCCAGGCTGAGTCATTTCTACCTTCTCCTCTCTGTCAACGCTCTCTGGTTTCATTTAAAAGAGTCGATCATCAGATATTGTCCAAGATTAACCTTCAGGGTGGATATAGCTCGCTAGCAGCCTCGCACCGAGGACCTATCCACGTCATCATTTACCCAGAATGCTTTGCATGTAAATAAAATTGCCTGTCTGTGTAATATATTTTTCAACTTTTAGTTTAAAAATGATAAAAACTAAACATCCTACAGTGTTTTTACAGTCTTTATTTTTCAATTAAAATATATGTTTATTAAATAAAGTCTAATGTTACAACTGATCTGGGATGCCTTTAATATTTAAGAAACAGTTAACTCAGTAACAGCCTGATTCTAAACAACATTCATTAAAAAAACTCTCAGTCTGATTTTCAGCCAGCATGTGTGATTGTTTTACATCTGCTGCCTCCATTCGGTTCTCACAGATGGACCACAAGAAACACAGGGAGCTTGTAAAAAATACACATAAAAAAACTGCAGCCTTGAAGTAAATCAACATCAAATACTGTCATGGTTAGAAAGACACGAGGACAGGAAGATGTTGGACCTTCGTTTGACTGAAACTTATGGAAAACTTGTCATGTTTCCACACTAAGAACATATGAGCGCTCAGTTTTCACACCGCGACGTTCTTAATGTGGTTTCAACCCCCGAGATGTTCAAACGTGTGACTATGAAAGGTCAGACATGCAGCACAGAAATCAGACAGGGTAAACTGGTTTCAGCGGGTGTAGGAAAGACCTGTGGCCCAGTTTGGCAACTGGGAGATACACGGGCAAACTAGTCTGTGCATGACAAACGAGATGAACCTCTCCCCTAACTGTAACGCTAAAAAAAAAAAGAGAGAGACATTCCCCAGGACATAAAGAAACACTTTACTGTAAACTATGACCGTAAAAAAGGTAGAGGGGAGTGAATCAGTCAGTGATGAGCAACTGTACCCAGCCAAGTGAGTTTCTGAAGAAAACCAGTGTCATATTTAAATGATTTCTGCTGCAGGGTAAACACAATAACGAAACTGTACGGCCTTCATGAATTAGAAAAATCAAAGATATAAAGATAATTTTCCTGTGCAGTCTTTGCTAAGGCATCCAGCTCTTTCTGACTTTGTGCCTGGGTGTGCATTATTTGTTTTCTGGTGCTTGCTTTTGTGTCTGGCCACCATCACTCACATCATCCTGTTAGCGTGGGAGGCTCTTCCTTTCCCATGTCAACCATGTTCACACACACACACACACACACACACACACACACACACACACACACACACAC